CAAGCGTGTAACGCTACATCACTCGGACAATTCATAATAGAAAAATATAATTTCTTTAATTTTCCTTTTTTTCATCTGGAATTTTTTTTAACATGTTGGTGAGATTTTTCTGATGAAAATGATATCAAACACGATATAATCTGTCACGCCCCACAGTGAACGTGTTAATAAGTAAATGTTGTTCAAATTATGTCGTGTTTGATGTCATCTTCGTCAGAAAAATCTCATCAATATGTTAAGAAAAATTTCGGGATAAAAAAACGTAAAATTAAAAAAGTTGGTATTTAAATCGCTTGGTTGCCTCGACTCACGTTTCATCCTTATCTTTTATTCGCTGTCCTTGTCTATGTTCGGCAAACTACAAAGGCGGGCGCGAGGCTCGAAAACGTAGTCCCTGACTCTACAAGTGTCAGGTTTAGATTCCTTGCGGACTGACACTTGTGGAGAATTTACTGTATTAGGTGCAGAAATGAATCCTTCCCGATCTTTGGGTGCAATAAAAGTTTTATTTAAAAAGAATGAAAATAATTTCCATTATTGTTGATGACCTTTTGCCATTTTTCTAGCAGCTTGCGAAAACTATGGCGATGAATACTCGGTAGTTTTGAATCAGTTATGTGAACTTAGTCGCAAAGTATTCATTTCTACACCTAATGTGTCTCCAAATAGTGAAATAATTTTCAAATTAAACGCACCTCAATTTTGAACAAAAGGAGCGCAGAAAACACAGTAGTTCTTGCAATTGTTCATCATATTCTCTTGGTTGAAGAAACATCCATGAATCATTGTGGGTCGAATGTCGACATTTCGGACAGTAAAGAGAAAACTTAATGCCAGAAAAGAGAAAACCAAAAATGCTGGGATCGATCAATTTTAGTACGTTGCCAGACGCATAAATTAAATTTGTATTAGGTAAGATTGAGTATTTTCTATTTAAAAATTTGAAATTTTAATCGACTGAAATACGAGTATGCTGTATTATTTATTATAAATTATGCGTTAGAAAATGCTCTTTGATTTATCTGTGAACCCGTTTATATATCCACGTGGAACCATTAAATGCGCACTGTGAAATCACTTGTGCGTATTTGTTAACAAATACAATTATTGCTTCGATGTGTTTTCCTGAAAGTATCAGAACATATTCTTTGTTATTTACGGACAATTTTCTTTGTTTAATTGTACTAAAGTTTTGTTATACGTGCTGCAATTATACTAAATACATCTAAATACGTAAATAAAATGTGAAAAATTATTCAGTTCAGCGTACGCTTTTTACGTTATTGCACACCATAGCGCTGAAAGGGTTAACAGGTACTAACAGGTAGAGACTGAACTTAGGTGAAGGTTAAATAGTAAAACGTTATAATTTGGACAATTGAATTTCAAATTTAATTGTAACTGTATATAACTAGGTGAAAGCAGTAGGATGATAAAATGAAAGAAAACTTATTTGAATGAAAACACTAATTAACACAGTGCATTTATGCTCATTTTCATTTCATTGAAATTTCAATCCTATAGGTTTCGTCGTATCTGGCAACTAGTCGATTTAAAAAAGAAAAGGAAAATGTTTCCTTATCCATTGGTCGAGGTGCAGGAATAACCGCGAGGTACAGTTCGCTCTCATGCACTGCACAGATATTTTCACAACACGTGCCCACGGGAAAATCCGTTAAGTCTAAATATAAGCCGACTGCAACACTTTGCTGCAATATATATTGAGGTCACGCACGATAATCTGAAGAAAAATTGGCCCATTTTGTACGTGCGATATCGGTTCTATTCGGTTTCATTCATACAGCTATTTTCGAACAAGGTGTTCTGTGCTGTCGATCGTTGTATATTTTTGAATAATCCGGGGCTAGTTTACGGGAGGCGCAAGTAAATTGTTACACGCTCAAGACGAACATGTACATAGATTGCGAAATTTATGCGAAGGCGGACATTGTAACTTGAACTTGATTTTCGTGCTCAGTGAGTATGAAAGTTATTTGTGTTTTGAAAGCTTTTATCGTAGACTCTTAGGTTATACGTAACGCTAAACGATAGAACATACTTTACGGGTTGCTGCGATGAAAAAGTTGCTAAAGCGTATTGTAGAATGTTGTCGGTACAGGATGTTTCAAACTGCATGGGCATAACATGAAAGAAGCAATTGAGTTTGTGTTATTTTCCAGAGACTTTGGCAAAGTTTAAGGAGAACATAGAACATGAAATCGCGGTGATATCGCAAAATACTCTTCAAGTAGTCGTGGAAAACATGGTAGAAAGAGCCCGTCTTCTTGAGCAAAATAACAGAGGTCATTTAGCAGATTTAATTTTTAAATATTAACGTAAAAAAGACTACAAGAATAAATTTTTTCCCTCTGTAGTGATTAACCCCCATCCGTCCCTCAGTTTCGCATCTTAATAGGTCCCTCGGTGTTAATTTGACACAATGGTAAAAAAATCAATTAAATGAAAAGATTAATTAATTTTGTAAATTCTTTCATTGAACAAAAATTTTTTCTACAAATAGCCGAATAATACAATTTTTTTACCGGAAAAATGTGTCAAATTGACACGGGGGACGGATGAAGGTGAAACGCATTTTTACTTATAATTGATGAAAATAATAAATCAGAAAATGCTTTTTGTACCATCTTGTAGTTGCCATTTATCATCTAATTCAATAACCAGTTGAAATAGTTACACTTTAGTAGCAAATTTCCTCAGAAAATTATTTCACCTCGAACTTTTCCTCTAAAGGAAATCTGAGAAAGTAAAATTAAAGAAATTATATTTTTCTATTATGAATTGTCGAGCCGTGAAATCTCGTAAAAGAAACCGAGTGGTGTAGCGTTACACGCTTGACTGACAGCAAGCGAGGATAACATAGGCGTAGGACCATCTATACTGACACTTGTAGAATCCAAACTGACTGACATTTGTAGGGAATTTACTGTATTTCGAATTTTTGAAGACGCAACGGCGGAACATTCGAACACTTTGAATAAGCAGACAGACTCGCAAGACTTTTTCCGTTCAAGGCAATCCTCAGGTTCCAATTTGTGTATCATGGCAAGTTTGTAAAGTTCCATTCGAACTCACCATGCCTTCTGGAACTCACAGTTTCCGATCAGCACAGATTTCCTTAGACTTCGATTGAAAGTCACCTCCACCTTTCGTATAGCTGCTTCATTCACAGGACGACAGCCACTGCGTTTATTCTTATAAAGGCAGGTCTGGTTTTCACAATTGTAAAACCATTTTTGTACCGAGAAGAATGTACCGTATCTGAACTCTGTTCAATATTAGAGTAACCTCGCTCTTGGACCGATTTTCGACCGTTCTGCGCAGCTCCCACTACTGCCTACCGATGTGATGCATGCGATTGGTCGTAGCACCATTTCGGCTAGTCCCAAAACCGACGTCAACGTAAACAGTGCATAAAGTGGAGAGTATCTACCCGGTGATCTAAAAGTATGCATACTGAGCGCGTGTTAGCGCAGCAGTTTGTGACACAAACGAATAGTGGCTAGTTGTATGAACTTAGTCGGACAAAATAAAAATATCAATACTTAGGGAACGATTCAAAATCATTTAAATTCCCAAAAGAGATATTGTAAAGTACCTAATTTTATTAGAATCATCTTTCATTCATAAATTTGGTATAGGTTTCTGTGACACAAAATGTTTGAGCAGTTAGTTGGTAAATATTGATTAAATGTTAAGAAATTTCCATATTTAGTGTAAATTATTGAAATTGAAAATATATCTTCAACGAATAGTTTTTCTGCATTAAAAATAATTTCATTAAAACTTTCGAAAGCACTTGTACCTATTTATACGCTCCCCACTGTTCGCACTAATTCAAAGGTGAAACTCTTTTATTTTTTACCTTTTTTTAATTAAACTGGTAGTAACGTATTTATGAAATCTTTCTGATTAAAATGATACCAAACACGATATAATTTGGATTATATTTACTTATTACTTATTATCATTTATCAAGTAAGCAAATATACTCGAAATTATACCGTGTTTGGTATCATTTTAATCAGAAAAATGTGACAAATATGTTGGTAAAAATTTCATTCGTTACAAATCAAAAATAAGAAAATTTGATTTTTGAGTTAAAGGTCTCAGCTTATTCGTTTGTCCTCAACTACTTTAATACAGAGGACGTTCCAGAAAAAATATTAAAGATTTTCAGAGATAAAATTATGCATTGCAGCTGGAAACTTACTGAAAGGTGGGCGGGAAGCAATCGGACAAAAGAACATAGTGTCCCATGATTAGAAAAAGAAATAGAATTTGAAGAATTACAAAACGGTATGGAAGAAAATCAGGATAGACTTTCAAACTCCTCATGTGGTTGTAAGAAACATTTTTTTAACGATAACAGCAATAAGACCAAAAAGAGAACAATATAAAAGTAAATAGAGAATTAATAATGCGTTACACCTGGAACAGTAGACAGAGAGCATAGCGAAGGGTAAGACAGAGAAAAACGTTGGCGGTTAAGTGGAGGTTCGGACGTTCTAGCACTGCCTCAAGTACGTCCCATGTGCGAAGTGAGGTTACTCTAATATTCTTTCTTTTTAATATTATTTTTGCCTTAGTAGGAGTTGTGCTTATTGGCTCAGGGCCAATTTACTACCTACTATGATGTTTTTGGATTAACATTAGTTAATTGCATAAGTAATTCCAGAGAAAAATTTTCATAAAATCTCTAATGTAGGCGAGGTTACTCTATTATTGGACAGAGTTTACATTTATCTCATCAACATCTATAGTAAACCATTGTAATTACACAATTACGTTATCTTTTATTTTGTAACATTCAAACTGTTAGAGTTGCCTATAGACCTTCAAATTATATCTCAAGAATTGTACAAGTTTTCATTTAGGTGAAAATTATTTTAGTAAGATAAATTAAATACGGTGCCGTCACAGTCATGTGTAAGTTTTATGTTCTCCTTGTTCCAGAATTGTGTCCCATCTATTATACATGAATGGTTGGAGATTCGCCAGACATCGTCGGAGAAGGACCGATCTCAGATCTGGGAGATCTAGAAGGATGGTGGGATAATCATGGTATCGTAGCATGGAGTTTTGCCCTTTTCGGCTGTTTCCTGCTAAATGTTACTCTTCTACTGGCATTCCTCGTCCGTCCGTCGTTACGGACCATTTCTAATAGGTTGGTCTTCCATTTATTTCTATACTTGGTTTTTCATTATTCTACGTGTATGGTAGAACTATTGTTAGGCGTATCCTGTAGCCGGATTTATGGCATCGTCTCAAGTGGTCACGCGTTGCAGGCAACTATATTCGTTTCGAATAACCAATAGCTGCTTATTGCGTTGCCTGTAAACCTAGTCGCCGGGACTAGAGACATGTCATAAATCCTGGAGTCTCCAGCGGGCCAAATTGAAGAAAGTGCCACTTTACGGTGATAAAGTCCAGGCCTCGCGGAGATTCCGCTTTCGCGGATCATTGCGCACCACACCCTTAAGATAGCACTCTAAGGATGAAATGGGAGGAGGTCTCAATGCACCGGGGGAAACTGATCAGTGATTGAGGAAATTGTAGAAAGTCAATCAGGATGTTTAAAACACAACCGGAGTCTCTGTGTCGAAGAGACAGCGGAGACTACGGCAGATACTTTAGAACTGTTATAAGATACTATTGAATACCATAGTTCAACTTGCATTTAGTTACCCAAATCACGTTGTTATCCATATTAAAAATAAAACATTACTGGCACTTCATGTTTCACCAGAAAAATGGTCCTTCGAGTAGAACCTATAGTCCGTCCAACGAGTCAAAATATTCGCGTGCTAAGCACGTGACAGATGCAAGGGACTCCGGCTGTTGTTGGCTGGGGAACGATAGTTCAGGAGTGGATTTACATGGGTCATTGTTAGGGCTTACTTCGACTTCTCGAATTTAGTGCTGCAGTATCTGAAGCAGAGACTTGTACCGAAATGTAAAATACCGAAAACTGAATATCGGTATTTTACATTTCGGTATAAGTACGAATCACGTGCGTTTGTTTACCTCTACTGACTCGACTTGCCGAACGGACTGTAGTGGATACACCACGTGCAAAGGATGATAAAGCCCGAATTACGATTTAGTCAATCACAGGCGTTTTAACAACCATAATAATGTAATGAATTGTCATATGTTAATAATGTGATGTCATCTTATTAATCTATATGTTAATGTATGCCTGCATATTTCCAAATATGCAAAGATAATATACAGAGTGGGCCACTTGATATTATCATCTTAATTTACGTCAATATTATTCTCTGTAGAAAAAAAAATGGATAAAAATAAAGTTACATAGTTTCAAGGGAGATATAAGACGAGTCAGTTGGAAATTCTCGCTTCGAAGTTTGAAAGTTTTTTTTTTAACAGAATTGTAGTACATTTTTTTCTGAATTACATTCCATTTAAAAACATTCAAATGCATAAATTCTATTGCATTGACAGCAGTATAGAGTAGCTACATTTAACCAAAGCTAAGAATAACTAAACGCATAAGTTCTGTATAATTTGTAACGTTAAGAAATAATTCCATTTGAAAATAACTAAATGCACGATTTCTGTTAACTTGATAAGACTGAGCTGTGATCCCATTCAGTGATAACTTAAGTACATCATTTCTAATGTATTTAGAGTGTTGTGGAATAATTCCATTTAAAAGTATCCAAATGCATATATTGTATCGAACTAGCAGCTTAGAGTTAACACATTGAGAATTTTTTTTGCTGGTATAATTTCGATTTTGTTTCTATTTTTCATTTACGTTAAATGGTATATGACGAATGTGCAATTAAAATGTACTATTTTACGAAAATGTATAATGTTTTGAATATTTTTTTTGGCTGCTCATTGATCAGAAACAAGCGAATGAGGCCGGCGTTTGGGCTTTGAGTGGCCGATACGTTGCCGGCGCTCAGGCTTTAAATGTCTCTTAGGTCGCCGGCGCTCAATGTGTTAAGACACCTCAGGTTTTAATGGTCAAGCTGTGGTAGTTGTTTGTAAGAAAAATAAACCACCACTCTCTAATGCTTTTCGTTCTGTGAGAAACATTTTTACGATATTACATATTCGTCATTTTTTGTTCCAGGTTTGTCATGAATCTAACCGTGTCAAACCTATTGGTATGCGCCATCATGAACCCCCTGCTGATCATGGACGTCACTTCGACGACGTCCGACGCCCCTGCAGTCGAGTCTCAATCCGTAGGAAGCATCTGCGCGATGTCAGAGGGTGCTGTGGCCATCGTTACCACTTCATCCGTGCTCTCGGTCCTTTTGATCGCTGTGGACCAGTACTTCGCGGTAGTAGATCCTCTACGGTACCGAGCTCGCGTGGATAAGCTGAAATCTGGTGTCCTGATCATGTCCATCTGGCTAATATCGATAATCTTCGGCTTCGTCGCGTTCTTCAACCCGAATCCTCAAAGCTTCTGGCTATCCTGTATCTCCAGGAACAGAAATTGGCCCTCGAATATCACCACTTTCGATTCACTCACAAAATCAATGATCACGATAGTAGAAAATGAAACTACCGAACAGAACGTCAGCAGTATCGCCGATATAGTGGAAACAATCGAAACTATCAGATTCGACGGTGACTTAAATCTCATAGAAAACACTACTGTGATCTTCGATACATTTATAGGTGGTACGATTACTTACGGCTTCGTTTACGCCATCTTGTACAGCATCTTCGTATATTTCATTCCCTTCGGTGCTATCTGCTGGATCTACGTGAGCATTTATGTGGCTGCGCATCGAAACTCCGAAAGGGCCAGAAGAAGCGGCTCAAGACCAATTTTATCATCGGCCAGTTTCACGGAAGAGCAGAATGGTCCATCGAGGCTTCAACGTCTTCAAACGGACACCATCGAGGACTTTCGCAAGTTACCAAAAATATCGAGCCTCTCGTCGATAGACGAGACGAGTGAGACTATGCAGCCGACGGGACAAGTATCTCGACGACGTTCTTTCTCTTCGTCCTTGGAGATAGAGGTGTCTTCGCCGCCTGTAGACGACAACGCCTGTTCAGGGATCGTTTTCACGGTTGGTTTGCAGAGGCTCGATGTGCCCGCTCAGTGCACGAACAGTCAAGAGGATTCCACGATGGAAGATAAGGATGCGGAGCAATCGTCGAAAGATGCGAAAGAGAACGAACGCACGCCAGCTCCATGGATTTCGAGGAATTTCGTCGACGAGAACAGCGACTCGGAGGACGACACACGTTTCGAGTGTTTCGATAACTTGGATGCCCTCGAGAACAAATTCGCTTTGCCCGCGCGCAGTTATCAATCTGATACGTTGAAAGCTGGCGAAACTGTCGAAGTGGAGGGAAGATTAGATAGAACAAGCGATCAGATTAAGCAGAACGAGGCCACAGTGATATCTGGCCGTGTTAACGGCGGTGATCAAGGAGAAGGACGTTTGTTACAAACAGACGTTTACTCAGACAGCGAGTATCCAAGTCAAGGTGACTCTAGAACGCCACGAAACACCGCAGAAGTTAAGCCAAATTGTAGATTATCGACATTCGTCGGTAGAGACGTTGCGTGTGAGAATGCAACGTTATCTGCTGGCAGTAACAAGACTGAGAAGGACAGTGCGAGCGGCACGGAGTCGTCCGCGTGTTTATTGACACCAATAGTGACGATCACACCTGCGCCAAGCAGAAACGAAAACCTGCACCGTGTATCGAGTGTCAGAAGCACTTCGAGCTACATAAACTCTCTAAAGGATCGTATAAGTAACGGTTCTATATTTAGACACAGGGAGGAGGCCAGGGCGGCGCGTATCAGCGCCCTGGTGATCGTAATGGGTCTAATCTGCTGGTTGCCGTATGTAATACTGTTGGTAATGAAGAATTTACCACGATCCACTGGCCAATATTTGCCCCATATATACGACGTATTGGCCTCCAGCCTCTTGATCTTGGGCGCGTACATCAGCCCATTGTTGTTCGGTTATCGGTCGAAACGAGTGAAACGGGAGCTGAGGAGGTTCTTCTGCTTCAGAAGGGAGCTGTCGTACAAGAACAACAGAAGTTTGATGGCCAAGAAGGTGCTGAAAAGAAGGCACAGTAGCACGCTCAGTCATTTCGAAATGGACCACAAGTACAACATCTTCAACTGCGTGTACGGAAGGACTCGATGGCCAAAGGAGAAGGTTCAGTTCGTTCAAGTGCCGGACACGGCGCTTGCTGTGGAGACTTGCAGGAGCAGCTTCTCCAGCGGAGCCAGCACGCAGATCTCTAGCACTTCGACAGAGGAATGTTGATGCGTATTCGTGACGTTCTTAACATTTTAACTATCGTTGGAGTACATTGGATAGTTTTTAGAGTACTTATTAAGCACTGTGTGTGCTTACGTCAGGCCTGTACTCGTTGCTTGTGAGGGAATTTAAGCATGATTTTGTACATTGATCGATGAAGATTTCTGGACAGGTGGAAAATCAAAAAGAAAGTTCTGTGTTCGATTTGCGTAGACGTTAGTTTAGGAAATGTGTAACAGTGTAAAGGTCAAAGTCAATCAAGTGAATGTTATTCTAACAAGGAGTACTTAACATCTTCTATGTTTGTTGTTTTTCAACATTCTGGGAAATGATAAGATATCTCTATTCTACTTTTCTTCTTCCTCGCATCTATATACCGTCTTGACTTGCAATTACTCCTACAAATACGTATTGCTTTTACAAAGTTCAATTTCTCATATTAGATTAGCAAGCATCGATCGAAATTTATCTACTTTGGTTTTCAAAAGATATTTTTTGTACAATAAAAAATATTGAAGAAGTTATTTTAGTTACAACAGTAAGTCCATTCCTAGATATATTTCAGTCTAGAGAAGTGTTTGTAACACGAAAACCAGAGGCAGAATGGTAAAGTAGTTTATACGATTTGTTCCGTGTTTTTCTTGGACAATGTAAGAACGAACTATAAAATCAAACGTAAATCGATAATCTGCACAAATCATCAAACACGAGAAAAATATATCGTTCAATGTTCTATCTACTTATAAAATTGTAACGAAAGTGATGCACATGACATGATTTCCTTGACAGTCAACTACAACTATCATGTTACAAACAATGCCCCGAAGAATCAGCATAGAAATTTAACGAAGGAAACCAATGAATATTTTATAAACATTTAAGAACACATTGTGAACAAAATTATCTCACTAAACATGTGTGCGTAACAGACGTTTAATAGACGTTAGATGGATACATGGATAATTTAATGGGACAACAAACGACACGGTTTTACAGTATGAAATATCAAAGAACGTTAACTAGATCCTCCGATGAGTCTCTAAATGGTTAAAAATCATATTAAGATAAGAAGTGTTGTTAACGATCGTGAGTTAATCAGTACACGCACAATCATGAACATTTGCGCACGATTCCTGCAGTACACAAGCGAATTTGTGTAAGACGAGCGTTATATTAGCTTCACCAATTATTCATTTTTTTCAGTGAGAATTCAATAGTATTATTTATGCGTATAAGTTATTCGATGTTTACGTAACACGCTGAATTACGTAGCTCCTAGAATTAAACGATACCGGCGATGAGGCTGTACCGAAGATATAGCAATTCTTCTTACATTTTTTTTTTTTTTTCACGCGGTCGACATCGATATTTCGCACCGTGGCATTTATGAAGCATTACGTGGAATTACGTACGTCATTTTGTACGCGTAAACAACTACAAGGGAGAAAGGAGTGTAACTATAGCAGAGACCATAAGTATTGGCTGATCTAGTCCATTATTGAGTCAATCCTATTATACAGCAAGGAGACATAAAAACATTGCGAGTTGGCGATCCATGACTTCAGTTTGGTGTCGTATAAAGTATACATTTCAACTTCGTTTCATTCCCCATTGAAACACAATAGCATTATACATATATAAACGTCACTGCAATAGTTAGTCCGTTGTTAATCGAGGGTTTATCTTATGTTTACATTATACTTGAATCCACTTGGATTGCTTGGTTGCATGGGAAAGGATGATAAAACAGCGACAGCTGTGGCTAAAGTTCAGAAATGTTTACCGTTTTCCTCGTCACAGGAATCATGGAGTTATACACTTGAAAATTTGAAAGAAATGCCCTCCAGTGGTTAATACCTGTTGTCTCCACTATAGTTTATTATACAACACTTGAATAAACTATTTATTATCAATGAATGTGTCAAAGTATTTTTGCAAGTAATGTAAATATGTACACAACTTCACAACAACAATAATGTTTCATGACAAGTGATTCGAGCCTTGAAGTATCGAGGATGGTTGCCCAACTATTTTGTACATTACAAATAAAGGATTTTTTTTATTTATATTAAATAATCTGTACATAATAAGTGATTTGATGATGAATCTTCGTATCTACCGTGTATAGTATACTACACAGTTGGTGTGTCGCGTGCGTGTGCGTGTATGTGTGTTTGAACGTGTATTTTGTATACCTGTGGAGAGACGCGAAGAAAACATGTAATATCGAACAGGCTGTTTTTAACAAAACAGTGACAAATAAAATTTACTTGTCGGCTCATGTTTCACCAGAGAGATAATTCTACAACTATAGTACACAGAAATCTTACGCTAAGCAGGTATTGCCTCGAGGAATCTGTCTAATAGTAAATTGATCGTTGCTATTGCTTACTAAGGGAAGTTATACAAAACGTCCAAAAGAGTTTCCTAATGATCGTATCAGCAAATTTCCATGAAGTTTTCTTTGCATTGAATCGAAGGTCTGTTTGTTCTTCTATTAACACGTTCACAAGTCCGCTGACCCACATATGGGTCAGCAGAGTCCAAAATTAGAAGTCGTGTACTTTTGACATAGAGGGCAGTTTATGTTCAAATTTTTTTATGGTAAATTATTTACACGCAGGAAATAATTCCATTGGACGTTATACTTAATTTAATAAAAGCGTCGAACGGCTGAGACGTGTATCACTTTCGCCTCGAATTGTGAACGCGTTAACGCAGAGGTAAATGCGTTAACAGATAAAATTCTAACCTCTTCGTGTTAACACTCAATCGCTACTTCGTATTTCACGTTTTACTTTTTGACGTCATAGTTGATTGACATTGGTTTTATGAAAATTTCGTATCCGAAGAATTGTCAAAGTCCAAAATTATTACACGTGGATTTCTCAAGCTTGTAAAACTTAATTAATCGTTTTAATCAAGATTTTTAATTTAACGAATTACCGTGAAAACTAATATCGGAGATTTTATACGATTCGATCTAACATTCTGATTATATTGTCGAAGTTGACGGGACGTCAGCTATATCACTTTATTTTCATTATATAGTCGTCATAGAAGAGGAAACAGAGTGCAGATAATGCTAGTTCAAGTTGCTACCATGGAAACATTGCAGTCATTTAAATCGCTCAAGAAGCTATTTACAACTGATCGTTTGAAGATCATGTACTCCTATAACCTAGAATTCTCGATTTGATGTGACGGTGGTGGATATATTCGGGGAAGTTCTAGAGTTGGTGCACGTCCATCATCGTTGGTGAATACATTGTTGTCGTATCCGAATTCCTGTTTGACGTTATTGATTTTCTTCGGCTCTTTCTTGTTGCCTTCCATCAAGAACATTGTCAAGAAGAACATAATGGAACCTGAAGAGATATTGTTGGTTAATAATGTATGAAAAAAGAAAATTAATCAAGAATTAACGTAACGTGAATTAATATTACTGCGTGTAATTTAATACTTATTCGTTAGATTACCTTGACCGGTTCAAAAAATCGATTTTTTTTTGTTTTCATAAAATATGATACAATTTATCCAAAGTCATTTAGCCTAATTCGTTGAAAACGAGAGTGGTGGTGCGTAGCCTGCGTAAGGCAATGTGTAATTCGTGTTAGGAACTGTAAATGCGTTTTTTTCGGAACGGTGTACGCTGTAACTTGAGTAAAATTCAATCGATTTTTATGAAATTTTGCACACGTATTCTTAAATGCATTCTAAATTGTCCGACGCAGAATGTTTTCGATATTTGAATTTTTGCTCGAATTATAAATAAGTAAATTACTACATGTCGCAAAGTGTGATTTTCTTTCTTTCTTTTCCTTCGATTTTCTCCATTTTGCTATTTTTCAATTAACTAAAAAAAAAAAAAAAAATCCTGCGTCAGCCGATGGATAATTTAGATTTATTTAATATTCCATCAGGCAAATTTGGTGCGAGGAACCTGTTCATCGTGAATAAGGCGTAGCATCCAGCGATGTACTTCGCGCTTATTCTCGATGTTAATATATTTGTCAGGACCTTGGACGGATGCTGATGTTGCCGTCTTAATCCGCGAATATTGCACAACAGTGCCGTCTGATTATTCTTCCCGAAAGGCTACACGATTTGTCTTCGGGAAGCATAATTCTCCCTCTAATTTGAGTTTCTACTAATTTATTCACAAACTTTACTTTAAACTAACTGTACAGAAGAAACCTAAACGTTTATCATTGGCCTGAATGCCTATTCGATTAGTTTGATTGCAAATTTTACTAATTATTGCCCAACCTGATTGTTGGGCACTTTGAACTGAACATAGGCAACCCTCCTATAACACCATATTTTTATAATACGGTTTCCATATAGCACGACTTCATAAACTTGGACAACCCTCATATAGCACGCATTTTTCCATCATCTGTTTCGGTTGAAATTAACAGGGATTCTTCTGTACCTATATACTGTCCGTTCAAAATAAGAGTAACCTCGCTTCGCGCATGGGGCGTGTCTAAGGCAGGGTTAGAACCACTAGAACGTCAAAACCCCCCACTTAATCGCCTACGTTTTTCTCCGTCTTACTCTCTGCTCTCTGTCTATGCGCAGAACGGACGAAAATCGGTCCGAGAGCGAGGTTATTCTTATTTTGAACGAACATTAGGGCTTAGAGTCTAGGCCAGGGGTTCCTAAAGTGCGATGGCAGATCAGCCGCGATCTTGAATTTACAGAGATAATTTACATTTTTACAAAAAAATAAATAAATTTTATCATATAATTAAAAATTGCTCAGTTAAAAAAATACTAAATTTTAAATGTAATATATCTTGTTATTATATAGATTGTATGTATTTTATTGTCTTAGCGGCTAATGGCCGTAAGTGTCTTAATGGCCCGCCAAATATTTTCGAACTTACAATTTGGCCCACCTAGGCAAAACTTTGGGAACCCCTGGTCTAGGCTATAAACTTCAACTTCTCTCGTCAGGACGTATCTTAATCCTCTAAATACATTCTAACAATACGCTAAAAATTCTAAACTCAAAAATAGCCTTTTGTTATTTGTCCGTGTCATAAAACGTTGCTTTAACAATTCACTTTAAAGATAAACACTGAAAAAAATGTATGCATATTGCTTACGTATGCATTTACCACTGACAAAAAATTGTTTCCAGAAGAGGATTATTGTTTTAATTTGAAATAAATTCTCAAAGAAACGGTACTTTTCAGACAGGCCAAGGTAGTTTATGTAACTTAACTAACAGAGTAATCAAATATTATTGTTACTTGGTATCAATTTTTTTATTTTGTTACTTACTAATACCGTAGAAACCAGCGTAGAAAATGTAAAGAGATTCTCGAAAGCCGATGGCCATTCTGGTTGGCTCAACCAAAATTGGCAGGTTTCCGCCGATATTGTTCATGACGAACAGGAATGCACCAATAGTGGTCGATCTGAGATGCAGAGGAACTATTTCTACGACTACAGCAAACACGATTCCGAACCACATTTCGGCTGTAATCAAGTAAACATATACAGTGAGTCACGGAACTGTTCATACACCCTTCAAAACAGAATAACTTTTTTAAAATTGGACCAAACGACTCGAGCTTTTAGTTTACTAGATAACGTGTAAAAATTTTTTGAAAAAATTGCAATTGGTGGGATTCGCGAAGAAAATAGCGAAGGTTGCTTTTTAAAACTTGTTTACCTGAGCTCGTAATGAAAATTTAAAAAGTACGTTTCGTAGATTTATGCCAGTTACATATTTGCTGACAATTTCATCGAAATCGGTCGATGCAGAAACAAGGGACAGGCATCGAAAGATGTGGGAATCTTGAAACTTGTTACAGTTACAGGCCGAAAGTCGCGCAAAACTGCGATTTTCATCATTTTTAACCGTTTATAGCTCGCAGCAACGTTAACCGATTTAACATCCGTCTTTTATGACCCTTGAAAGTACGTTGACTCTAACACATAATTGAGAAAAATTTACAGGGTGGACCACCTAACGTCACCACCTCAATTATTATCGTTATTAGTGGATCGATTAAAATTTTTTCTGTCGCAGATGATACGATTTCAAAGGACCTTCAAGGTGACGACCTCAGATTTTTTTTACCACTTTTTAAAATAAATTTTCAAGCCCGCGTTCAATTTTTTTTATGTATACATCTATAGTGTTTTTTTTTTTTTTGCCTATTAACTAGCAGGCGTTGAGACAAATTCAACGACTACAATATAATACACTTTCTATACATAAAAACGTTAATTGTGAGCTTGAAAACTTATTAAGAAGATCCTTTGAAACCGTATCCTCTGTGACTAAACAAACTTGAAGCGGTCTCTACTAATAATGAAAATAATTGAGGTGGCTACGTTACGTGGACCACCCTGTATATGAAGAAGTAAGTAAAATTTACGCGAGCCTAAATTTACCTACCGAAGAAGTAAGAAATTCCTAAGGTGATCATCGCCCACAACGGAGTAAAGTACACCGAGCCGAACGCAAACGGCGTTGCAATTATTTGACTAATTGCTAAACAAGCTACCCGTGACCTGATGCCCATTTTTCTCACGAATTTATCGCTAACCACACCACCGACCACAACACCGATGCTACCGATCACGATCGTCACAGCGAACAACCACCAGCCTAAGTCGTAGTCGGGAAAGTAATCTCTGTAGTAGAGATCGCAATTGTAGGCGAAGCACATACCACCTGAAAGTAAGAAAACTTGTGTCAAAACAGTGGCGAAAGATTTATTATTTACAAGTACTAATAATTGTATAATGTAGAATCACTGAAGATATTAGGAAATGAAAAGAGCAAGAATTTTTCAGACGTGTACAGTGTGTGATCACTTGAAAATTGTGTATCAGTTATTTGAAGTTTGAACAAGAATGAAATTGAAAATACAATTTTATTCGAAAAAGTGTACTTATTCCAAAAGTGGACATCTTCTTCAATTAGGATATTGATTTTAAACATCTCAATTTTTCGATCTTTTTACTTACACTTCGTTCAGAATAAGAATAACCTCGCTCTCGGACCGATTCTCGTCCGTTCTGCGCATAGACAGAGAGCGTAGCAGAGGGTAAGACGGAGAGAAACGTAGGCGGTTAAGTGGGGGTTTGGACGTTCTAGTGGTTCTAGCCCTGCCTTAGGCACGCCCATGCGCGAAGCGAGGTTATTCTTATCTTGAACGAAGAGTAGACGTATGTGTACACAGAATATCGAAACAAATCTATTTATGTCAAAATAACTGCATGCTTCCGTTTATAAAAAAAAAAGTATTACAGCATATTGTAGATTTTTTATTACATTCTTTGGCTAACTGCGGCATAGAAACTGATCTGTTTTATTCCATTCACGTAATAATGTTTATGAATTAATATAAAAACTATAAGAAGTTTAAATATTTTTTGGTTTTAGTAGAAGAGAAACTTTGCTTTAATTTCGAGAAAGTTTTTTCGTCGGTAGGCCGAAATTTTACTTTTAATTTTGAAGGGAATATGGTTGACTATACACCTTGACTATTCTTAAGTAAAGGAGAAGAGTCAACTATGTTTTACTAAAAAATTGAGAAACGAGGAACGCTTGGAAGCATAAAATTAGCGAAAATTCACGTCGAGTACTTGATTTACTTTATCGTTTGTAAGATTTGTCTCTTTTCTTCGAACATTTTCTGTTAAGTTTAAAGAATACGGTAACTTCGAAAATGAATTGTAAAGAAGAAAACACAAGACAAAGGATAAGCTACAAATGCGGAAAAATATTTCTCACGATAGATAGGAATTCTGCTGGAATAAACCAAGCACGTAGACGCTAATACGTTCAAGTAAATTTCAATCCTTTGCGTCAAGGTATTGCCCTTTACCGCAATGTCTGATGCTGGCAGCCAGGCACAATATTATAATCCTCGGTTGTAGGATCACTTTCCAAACGGGTACTTTCTTTCCGTTGCTGTTCGTTTCCTCCTCTCCGATCGTCTTTCTTTTTGGTTCGGTAAGCGTGAAGGTGAGACAGGCTACGATCAATCCGATTATACCAGCTCCGTAATAGCAGGCTCTCCAACCCTATTCGCATGATTGATAATTGTTATTTGTCAGGAGTCTACTGGATCTTCCGCTTAACTGAAAACGGTGGAACATCTCATGAGGGATTGAAGTTATGAAGAAAATGGTCTTACCAAAGTTGTTGGATATATGTATAAGGGGACATTAGGTGCTATTTTTTTTATTTATAATATTGATTTCGAAATGAAGAATCGGGGAGTCAGGTCAACATGTGTCGCACACTTTCGGTCGGTTAAGCCCTACTTGACTGTGTTACTAATACAAATTCTCCACGATTTTACATCTTTCCATAAAACGAAATGTGTCGATGTGTCACTTCGTTGAATTTGTCTGAACAAACACTACAACATTAAGAGTAGAAAAATACAGGGTTCTATTTAAAAAAGTTAACTTGACTTGGATATCTCGCCCATTACTACGCCTACAGAAAAATTATTTATACCACCTGATATCCGCCTGTACACCAGGCAACTTTTGTAAGAACATTTTCTTCTTAACTTCAATCCGTCGTAGGATATTCCGCCGGTTCCAGTTAAACGGAATACCCTGTATATAACATTTTCCAAAGGTACATTTGGTGGAAGAGATGTAGCGAGGTCGTAAATCTTCACATTAGGATCGTACACAAGGCCGTACGCGTCTTGTAGGAGCTTCCCAAATTTCAAATTACCCGCGCAGGGCGAAAGATGTGAATCCCCGGACGGCCAACGCTTCTAGCGACCAAGCGGCGACTGTGATTGGGTCAGTATAGACCCGCATCTACCTTTTCTCTGTTTCTATCACTTTTTTAATGCTGCTATGAGAAAACCGGTGCCGAGTTGACTTATTACGGTCCTGAACGTGATTCAAGCTCTTTATCTCGCCCAAATTGTTGTTTCGGATTTTATAACCTCACTTTTAGCTCTTCCACCAAGTATCTGTACCGCATTCTCTGCAATCGCGATGCAACCGGGAAAGGGGCGATACCTCGTAAAAAAAAATGAGTCGAAAATGCAGAATAAAATGTTTGCATATGAAACTTCGTTTTCGAGAAAAACGATTTTGAAACTCTGTCGGACACGTTAATATTCTTTTACTTTTTCGCAGCACTGGTCTTTCTTTTTATCGAAACAATTGAAAGTTAATAAGTATACTTTTGGTTGAAATCTGTACAAAATCAAAATCACCTGTTTTGATATCTATCTAAGATATTTAAATCGATTGGATCAGATGGAAAGGGAAAAGTTAAAAGTGAAAATACACGAATGAAAAGTGAAATTGAATTTAACGATTTTTTCATATTAACCCAAACCTTTTTAAAATTCAAACGTTATTATTAAAATATAGTTAATTAGGTGTTCGATTAAATCTACAGTATTTGTGTGACTGCAGAAGTATGGAAAAATCGAAATACACGAAAGTTTTAAGCAACACAGGTGTTTTTCTTCGATCTGTTGAATTTTTTAATTCTTCCATGACTCAAGAGTTCAAGTTCATTCTTAATTTCTTTAAAGTCGATGCCAACTCGTTTATTACACGAAACGAGTTAAATCGCGTACAAGTGAAACGACCTTCACACCATAAAGAGAGAAAAAGACGGTTTAATCGACCAAGGGTCCAAATGAAAGACCTTTCGTTTACCGGTTGGATGCTTCAATTAGTCATGCTACTTAATTCCTTTACTAATTACATCTCTCTCATCTTATATCTAGACGATTTCTGACTCGTTAATCAATCTAATCGTTTCATTGTAACAGAGGATTTCATTCAATTTCCAGTTCCGTTAATTGGTAGATTTATTTCTGTGCTTAGTGTAATATAAATGGCCAATCTCGATTTTTTCTTGTTTAGATCTTTCGTTGAAGGAAGTAATAGAATTCGATTCGGAAGGAAAAAATGTCCTTAGTATCTTGAAACCAGGAAGAGAGTTTTTATATTTGATTAATGATCTTTGTTGCGTAGGTTGTCCCATATAAAGAAAGATGAACAGGATATCTTTCCTTATACGTAGTATTTTTGAATATTGATGTTCTTATAACACACAAAAATATAAGAGTTTATGTGTGAAGATAAATATCAATTCATCCTGCGTGTAAGGCACAAAATTATTAGAATTATGTGTAATTAAAATGATATAATGACGTATAAAATTTTGTTCGTTCATTTGTGAGAAATTCAGAAGAAAAATAACGTTGCACCCTTTTTTTTTCTTCTTATAATTTTCATCTGAAGTAACTTTTGCCCAAATTGGTGACAATAATTACTCTATTACCAGTAATGTGTAGTAATCAAACAAATGTTTATATTTTCTCAGTACTTCGGATCTAAAAATGATAATAGACATTTTAAACAGAGGTTAAAATAAAAGAACGTAATTAGAGTAATCAATTTTTTACAAAAGTTGTCTTATAGCGATAAAATAATGAATTTGAATCGATACAATTGGAAGTTGTGAAAATTCTTTCGATAAAAATTCATAAATAAGTATAAACCGAACTGTCGTTCTTAAATTAAACAATCTCTATTTCTTCAATTTAATCGGTAATTTTTAATTACGTCGCAAAAACCCTTTCCGTTAAAATCAAATGTAGTATGAAGAGTAAACTACCATGTGACATGAAAGAGTAAGAAATATCGGAACCTAATATTAAAAGTAAATAAAATTACACACGTTGATGTGCAATCAACTCTGACAACTTCATAAGATGAGTTTCAATAGTGTAAATCACGGATTTTTACCTTAATTTCTTTTCAAGTGTAAACAATACGTACCAGATTCCCAATGTTCACTTTTGGGATGTAACGGCCTACAGGAAATGCGATGCCGTAACCACCATAAATGCCCCAATTGAAAATTGACATAACGAGCCCTCGTTGTTCCTCGGGAAACCAATCAGAAAGCAAGCCAGTAGCCAAAGGATTGCAACCAGCCTCCCTGTATATTCATACGTTAATTTTCATCGAACTGAGAAGTACCTATTATTTGTATTTAACGTACCCTGCTGCTAAAACCATTCGTAGAACAACTAGGTGCCAGTATTCTTTGACTGCTCCCATTAACACGATCGCAACACTGAATATCACAGTGCAGATGGTTAATAATCTCACTCTGCGAATTAGAATAAATTTTCTGTTATTTGCATAGATATAAGAGAACGCAAGTGTAAGAAAGAGCACAAATTAAACGAACAATTGTTATGTCGAATTTTATAATTTAGATCTGTATTTCCAACAAACATTTAAATTTGATAAAAAAGAGAAACGTAAGCGCTTTCTTGTTCCACAACTTTTTCCTATTTTTTTTTCGTAGCTACAGAATTTTGTTGGTTCTTCGTGAAAATATTTGTCGCTTTTGGCACGAACTTGTGGGACGACCTAATATTTCGAATTATTGCCTGGAATTTAGAATACCTCTTTAAAATTGGAATACGTAGAATTTTCATCCCTAGGACTGTGTATCAGTTCTAAGTGTTAGAGGTTTGATTCAGTTATTCAGTTGTGTATACTGCGGGCATCTTGCATAATTGGTTTGACAATTGTTGCAGTACAGTCGCGTTAATTGCGTACGGAAAGAAAAAGGAATTAGAAACGAAGGGAAATAAAAATCCCGCAGAAACTTGCGAAACCTTGAACGAGAACTTAGAACGGAGGAATTGTTGGTACAATGAGCGTAGCAACCTTGATGTATCAGTTCACAGAAGGATTTCGACCAACGGTGATGGTGCATCGATCGACGTCTGTTACATTGAAAATGCAAATCGATAGAAATCGCGTGGTTTGACTTGCATAAGCCGTGCGATTTATACGTACATATATACATATACACCGTAAATTTCCATCTGGAACGAATTCATCGTCAGATTCATAGAGGTAGAATAGTACTTATACAGTCAGTCAGAAAAATCTACATATGTACAATGTACACTCCCGTTCATAAGTATGAGGACACTTCTCGAATGTGAAGCAAACCTAAACAGTCGTTACACAATTATTAGGGTCCTGAAAATAAGGATTCAGTGTGGAATTTCGTAGTATGAAACTTTTAAATATCTATTTCCGTTTAAGGAGCCGTCATTGGAATAAGATCCTAACGGCGTGTCGTTGATTATGCTACTGTGACACGGACTTCGTAGACACATTCCACACGGCCCCACTTTTTGGACACGATCTTCCTGTACGAAGGGCTTGATCCTGAATAAAGGTTTCATAGTGTCGCGGTAGGCGCCACCCGACGTGTGATATGCGAGTGGGTTTCCCTTGTCCTATGATACACATCTCCTTAAAAATTCGCCCGATCCATTAGGACACCTTCCCTGCATTCCGGACCGACGCCAAGATGGCTTTTGCCGATACCGCGATTTTCCTAAATTTCCCTAACGCGCATTCCACAGCGTCCATCCCCTCCAGTAGGGCCCCATATAAATACTGGGCCCAAACAAGGGAAGTTTAGTCTCACGTTTAAAATCTAAGAAACCGCAACGTCACTCTGTAACAGTATTATTACAAATAAAGCACTTTAAACAATCTCCGGAGTGACCTCGACGACAATAGTGAGTTTTACTCTCGAACCGGTAACATCTCTATTTCTCTAACCTTACTCCTTACGCGAATATTTCTGCGGAATATTAACCTTAAGTAGAGTTTCGTTACAATTATCAATATTCCATAAAGCAATTTAGTTTATAAACGGAATATTCAAATATATTAAACGTCTGCGTGAGAAATTTAGTGCGAGATCAAGAAACCGTTGCGACGTGATATTATAAAATCACAAAACACTCGTTTCCGCGTGACACATTTGGAGGCTCTAAGTGCAACATCATGACGAGGCCTCAAAAGAACAGGTCTATTTCAGTTAATCAAATTCATGCACATGTTCTTTTAAGGTCGTTGAAAACAAAAGTCGACATTTCCATAGTAACTCGTTTTAATAAATTATTGGTCTGTAGAAATTCCTGTCAATGTCCCCTCGTAAAGGCGTTTTCGTTTTCAGCAGCGTCTTGTTTTTACATTGTGAATTTAATATTTAAAAATAAGTATTTTATTTTGCAACTACAACTAAGCTGTTTTTTATATTTTCAAAATGTGACCCCAGCTTGCACGTAATGCGCCTTATGGTAAATACGGCCCTGATTCCACACCAAACATTGTCACAAAATGGAGTCTGAAAATGAGTTTTGCTGTAGGTCGTTGAGCTTGTCTCGGTAACCGCTCTCATGTAACATAGAAAATAATGTAGCTATCGAATTAGAAAAATTCATAGTTCCGTCATTACGCAAAAACTATTGCAAATTTTAAAAATATACTCAAGCCATCTATTTTTTTTTTTGCACAAATGTAACGTTAGTCAAACATTATGGAGGGAATTAATAAGGAATATTCATCGAATTGAGTCAGGCTGATTGTCATTAACAATACAAAGTATTCGCAGTATTAATATTAAACGTAATAAAATAAAAGCGTGAAGTAAAATAAGTGTGTATGAAAGCAACGTGGAAGTGGAGGGAAATAATTAAACGAATACATTAATTTGGGCGCTAAACAAAAACGGTAAAAATAATCGGATATTTGTTAGGCAATTATAAGGAATCGAAGATTGATTCTCGTCAAGCACAGTTGCACAATACTTGTTGGCTTCAAGGCTTCATGGAATTACTAAATGAGAAACAAATGATTGCCATCGTTGACAATTATTATTCATCTGACTTTGCAAGGTTATAAGTCATAACATATGTACTTATATTCAATAATTCCTGTATTTAATGATACAAACTTCCAATCGTCGACTTAGTGATTGATGAATAAACGTCATATTTACGAAACACTTCGTAGAGCGGAGAAGGATGTAATAATCTACCTTCTACGTCATACGCGTTATTTATTCATTTTAAGACTTTGATAATTAGCGTTAGGTGTATCCTGTAACCAGATCTATGGCATCGTCTTAAGTGATCACACGTTCAAGGGAATTATTTTCCCTTAGACAATAGGTATTTACCGCGTTGCCTGAAAACCTGTAGTAAAGGACGAATGAATTGTTTTCGGTTCCACTCTTACCGTTTCGCAGTTCACAGTCGCCCCTATGAGATCTCTCCGTTCCGCTTTTAACCCCTTAACCTATGATTACTTTTCCGACTGTGCATCTAAGCGTCAGCCATTTACAGTTTTAATACCGTATCAAGTAACAACAGCTAATCTGTTACAGATTAATTACATTTAGTAATTTCCAGTCGTACACATTAAAACGAAAGTTAGGATTAGGTTTAATTTTTCTTTCTAATATAACCATTTTTGTCATATTAGGACCAGAATCTCTGTCACTAGTCTGACACGTTGTTATAGGTTAGAGGGTTAAACTACGCCTGCTGCTACCCTCGAAACGAAAGACAGAAGGAGCATATTGTTGAAAGAGGTGTATCCTCGTAAGGCGAGAAAAGCTTATTACCGTTAAAAGTATAGTCGGTAGAAACGATATTTGAAGTCCTGTCTGAATAAGACGGAGGATTTACAGTAATCCATATGCGTATCAAAGGTAGAAGAATGTATAACTGCAATTTCATAGATCTATATAACGATGTCGAAAATTTTGATTTTCTATCACGTCTCTACGGTTTGGGACCACTGTGCGCGGTATAGCCGGTGGAAACGATATAGCGAGGTCGTAAAATCGGTTAGACGTGAAAATACACGCAATTCAAGCGCTAAAATAGCAATTCAGAGGAGATCAGGAGCTTGGGTTTCGCTAAGTGTCGTTCAATGTCAACTCGGAATTGGTTCCTCCATTGTGGTGCACGTATTTAAAAAATTTGTCTGCGCTTTAATCGTTGACAATTAAGGTTAATTTTGAGCGATACGAGAATTAGAAAAGAAGGTCTGAATATGGGCTAGTTGAAGTATTCAATAATATTATTTAGATGCTTCATCCTATTGAAAATAACGATGAAACTACGATTTATGAACAAAATAAATGTTGCGGAGAAGATAGTGATCTGCATTTATGTTGTTTACGTGTTGTGTTGCAAAACGTGTCACTTTTTCTTATTTCGCTATTTTAAAACATTTTTCAGGTAAGTGCGTTTTATTTTTTCAGTAATAATCTATTAAACTAAGAGCTAATTAGACATTGCTGACATTGTAAGCTTCTTTTTACTGTAAGTTTTGTAATGAATATCATCGCGTAGTAATAAATACCATAGCCCTAAGCATTTCTGGCCAAATGATCTAAATATAGGCTACAAAGCTACACAGAGGGGTTATTTATAGGGGTGGAGAAATATGTTGAGAATGTATAATGACATTTTGTTTGCGCGGAGCCTTTGTTCCCGTATGAGTCGAGGTTGCAAATTGATCGAGGTGTGAGATACGGTTGCGATAGCAGGAAAAGAACTTCTATATCGTTGAACGGTGATTTTTAAGTAGCAAGATACTTTTATTTCACTGTTCATCTTTGAAACTTGAATGCACACATTGTTGCAGTCTCTATTCTCGAATGCAACATCGATGAAAACACTATTTCGAATGCAAAACGTTGTACGCGTTACTTTTGAACGCAAAATTGTTCGAAGCGTTACATTTAAACGCAAACACTGTTGAATCTCTATTTCTGATTGCAACATTATTAGAAGCGTTATTTCGAACGCAAACATTATTACAAGCACTACGCTTGAATGTAACATTGTTACAAGCGTCATTCTCGCTTGTAACATCGTTAACTCGTACTACTTTCGAATGCAAATTGTGGCAAACGCGTTATCGAGTGTGCAACTTTGTTGCCGAAAGTCGCTCCCTAAAATTGCACATTGTTGCAAACGCGTTCTAGGTTTGCAACTTTGTTGTCCTCGAAAATTGCACATAGTTGCACGACGCGCCAGTTTGCAACATTGTGCATTTTTTCGAGAATCATTCGCGGCAACAAAGTTGCAAACGCTGTTCTCCCTTTTGCAACTTTTTTATCGCGGGCGCTCCCGAAAATTGCACATTGTTGCAAACGCGTTATCGGTTTGCAACTTTGTTGACGCAAACAGCTCCCTAAAATTGCACATTGTTGCAAACGCGTTCTGGGTTTGCAACTTTGTTGTCCCCAAAAATTGCACATTGTTGCACGACGTGCCAGTTTGCAACAATGTGCAATTTTCGGGAGCGATTCGCGACAACAAAGTTGCAAACGTGATTCTTCTTTGCAACTTTGTTACCGCGAGTCGCTCCCGAAAATGTTATTTCACTGCAAACGCGTTATCGGATTTGCAACTTTGTTGCCGCGTATTGCTCCCGAAAAATGCACATTGTTGCACGACGCGCCAGTTTGCAACAATGTGCATTTTTCGAGAGCGATTCGCGACGACAAAGTTGCAAACCGGTAACACGTTTGCAACAATGTGCAATTTTCAGGAGCCACTTCCGGCAACAAAGATGCAACCCCGATGACGCGTTTGCACGAGAAATGCACAATGTTGCAAAACGGGGCGTCGTGCAACAATGTGCAATTTTCGCGACAACAAAGTTGCAAACCCGATAGCGCGTTTTGCAACAATGTGCAATTTTCGGGTGCGACTCGGGACAACAAAGTTGCAAATCCGACAGCGCGTTTGCAACAATGTGCGGTTTCGGGAGCAACTCGCGGTAACAAAGTTGCAAAAAAGAGAGATCGCGTTTGTGGATATCTAGAATCTATACCTATATTGTAGTACACTGTCTATTTAAATTCTCTTTTAACTATTTTTCATTATTTATTACTTGCTCAGATGCATATGTATTGAAATTCTGTTCTTGCGTATTACAATCATTCTGAAAATTCGTACACTTCGTATAAGCGGCGTCCTTTATACAGCTATGTAAAGGGGTTATCTATAGGGATGGAGAAATATGTTGAGAATGTATAATGACGTTTTGTTTGCGCGGAGCCTTTGTTCCCGTGTGAGTTGAGGTTGCCAATTGATCGTGGTGTGGGACACGGTTGCAGTAGCAGGAATACAACTTTTATATCACCTTTGGATATTGAATGCACACATTGTTGCAGTCTCTATTCTCGAATGCAACATTGATGGAAGCATTATTTCGAATGCAAAACGTTGTACGCGTTACTTTTGAATGCAACATTGCTTGCTTGAAGCGTTATATTTGAACGCGAACATTGTTGGAATCTCTATTTCTGATTGCAACATTATTAGAAGCGTTATTTAGAACGCAAACATTATTACAAGCACTTGGCAAACGTGTTATCGAGTTTGCAACATTGTTGCCGCGAATCGTTCTCGAAAAACGCACATTTGTTGCACGGTGCGCCGTTTGTAACATTGTGACTAGCGCGGGCTTCCGAAAAAAAAGCACAATGTTGCAAAACGCGTTGTCGGGTTTGCAACTAAAAGCTAAGTAAATGAATATTAAAGAGTAATATATCTAAAATGAGTATTTATTGAGATATTTACTGTAGATGTTCTATTCTATTGAAATTAAGTTTAACCGTAGAGAAATATACTTCTGCGTGTACTTTTAATATTTTCGAATGCACATTGTGGCAAACGTGTTATCGAGTTTGCAACATTGTTGCCGTGAATCGTTCTCGAAAAACCCACATTTGTTGCACGGTGCGCCGTTTGTAACATTGTGACTAGCGCGGGCTTCCGAAAAAAAGCACAATGTTGCAAAACGCATTGTCGGGTTTGCAACTAAAAGCTAAGTAAATGAATATTAAAGAGTAATATATCTAAAATAAGTATTTATTGAGATATTTACTGTAGATGTTCTATTCTATTGAAATTAAGTTTACCCGTAGAGAAATATACTTCTGCGTGCAAACACGGTGACCTTCAAAACTTTACGTACAAAAACAACGTAGAAAAGGAAAAATTATTGTAACATATGCCCCCCTTGAAATCATGCAACTTTTGCTACATACACGATTTCGTACAGCGAATAGTTCACGAGCAATTTCAGGTCGTCAAGTTAGGCGAATCACCCTGTACCATGTTAAGGGAACATAAATTTGGCAACAGTAGAAGTTATTGAAAAAATAAAACGACTATGGTCGAAAAAGATCCGAAGACCGCACTAGGGTTAAAATAATCCCGGTAAGTACGCTAACATATAGAACGAACAAATACTCGGAACAGTACGGTGCAGATTAACCAGAAGAAAAGAAACAAAATAATGCACACTACGCTGATTAGATTTCTCTTCCAAAGAAACGTGAACGAACTTGTGTTACGCAATTACTCAACCTACCGCAATGATATTCGTCCGTCATTGAACGTGTCGAGAAAGGTGCAAGACAGCCCACAGTTGGAATGCCAGTAACTAACCACGGGACCGCTAATGGTAAAAGTAGCCGAGGCAACGTTCATATGTATCTATATCTCTATTACAACGGTACGTGTCGTACGATCGTACAGAAAAATCAAACATAAAAATAAGAATGACTCGTCGCTGACGCGAGGTTATGTACCTGTTGTACTTGTCAGCCGCAACGCCCAGAGCAACGCCAACGATCGTGAACACAGCGATGAAACTCGGTCCAGCCAGGATTTGATAGTCGAGACCAAGGCCGTTGTAGTTCCATTCGCAGTACCGGGATCCGTTCAGTTCCAGGGACTCGCAGCTGTGAAACAGAACACCTTATACGCCGATTCTAATTCGATCGAAGGTGAAACGGATATACACTCTCGTACATAAGTATTGGGACATTTGTGCCGGTGATTATGAAAGTGGCCTAAGTCGTATATATTTTTCATTTCGAGATATTTACAAATTTCCCTTAACATATGTTTTCATTATGTAACAGACATTTCACAAAATACTCGCTCCTGTAACGTAACTCTTTTCTATGAGAAGATCGACGCAACACAAAATGAGTGATAAATTCCATTTTTTTCGACTTTTCACTTAGACCACTATCGTAATCACCAGCAAGCACATGTACCGAATGTGAAGCGAATATAAACAAGTCATTAGAAAATTATTCAGCCTGGAATCTTGTAATATAACAAGCATAGTAGCAGTCACGATACAGCGAGTCAGGAGACAATGTAAATATGTTTCGGCTTATCGAGACAATCGTATTAACAGAAATTACACTGCTCGCCAAAGAATTGCAACATCTAAAAATTGGGGTCGCACAAATCTGAAAATCACACATGTTTCTCGGGCTACTCTGAGGAAAAACGACCCTTTTTTAACCGAATTTTAATCATTTTCCCCTTTCAATACTCCACACAGTATATGCAAATTTCAGATTTGTGCGATTTCACTTCTAAGGTGTTGCAATTTTTTTTGGCGAACAGTGAATAAGCAGTTAGAGACCTGAAATCTTGACCAGGGCTGTGGGAAGAAATATTTGAAACCCGATAGCAAATTTAGCTAACAATTTACGCTTCTGCTGATATATGCTACTAAATCTGACGAAGAAATTTAACCCTTTATCTACAGGCCACACGTCTCAGGCACGAGTCTGAATTTTTATTTCATTATCACGGTGAATTTTTTTGAAATAGAAAAACTGTAACGTTTGAGCAGCTTCAATTGATAACAGGTGGTACACAATTTCCATTTAAAGTATCCCAATTTTTTCATAACACTGTAAACATACAGTTTTTATAAAATATTGTAAAAACATCTTAACAAACATATATATCATTAAATAAGATAGTTGTGTGAAATTTATTTTTACAACACAGTGATTTAATAAATAAAATTGCCAAAGTAGTTTAAAAGACTGATAGTAGTCTGAGAGACGGCATTGGTAATTTTATTTATTAATTCTTTCCACTCGAGTGTGGATTGAGAAGCGACATTATTGTTTATCATTTGGTAAGTAATTAACGGAGGCTCTCTTAAAGTTGACATTTTATAGGAGACCAAGTCTATTGACCTTCCATTATGTCTAAGCAGTGAAATAATTTGAAAGAACCAACATCTAATGAAATGTCGCAAGGACTTGTATAATATAGAAATACGTTAAATATTGAACTAACGTAGCTATATTTGTCAATATATGTATGATGTGTTAATTTTAAAAAATTCCATCAATTTTTGTGGCAATAAATATCAATTCTTTAGCACAAGCAAGTAGCAAGATTTGCTGTTTCCCCGTAGCAAACAGATCTTCGAGTGCAAAAAATCACTGTATTGTCAAAATAAATTTAATACAACCATCTGTACAATACACGCCTGTGGTGACGTCTTAAACACAAAAGTCTGTAATTAAGGGCTAAATCACGTAATAGTTTCTGCACAATCACAATGGATATCCCAATACTTGTGAACGGCAGTGTACGCGTTCGCGAATCTAGCGAAAGAACTGAAACGCATATGAGTATTTGAGTTATCTACGATATCCTTTGCTCCAGTCATTTTATTTCAGAGAATTCACATAGAGGAAACGAAAAGTTACAGTCAGTTGATAAAGTCTCCGTACGCTTCGTTAGAATTTACTCAGAGTTGTATAATTTTTACAGGGAAGGTAGCAAATAAATAACAGTTAGGTTGTTTCATTTCGAAACTATCGGTACAAAGAAAAATGCTTCACGTTCATTTATCAACAATTAATTTTGTGGTCGCTAATAGCTAGTAAGTCGACGTGATATTAAATAAGTAAATAAATAAAAAATAATAATAATGTGTGAGGAATTTTTCAAACTGAAGTTTTTTGAAAAAGAAATTTCACTCGATACTTTCGGCTTATTTTTATACGTATCGATACGCGACCCACCCCATACATGAAAAAAACAGACGAGTGTAAAGAAAGATCGTACGTTAAAGACTGGACATTTCTATGCAAAGTAATTATACGTTAAATTCGACGCAATTCGTCCAGCGGTTCCTGAAATATTTTCGGTGTAGTTTTTGATAAATGCAAAATAAATGTAGGAACTTACAAACTTTGATTCTTGGCTACCTCACACTGAATCGGTAAATCCACGATCGCTAACGTGGTTGAGTTTAATTGGCAGGAAATGTCACCATAGTGTAAATCTTCTGCTGTCGCCTTGCTCGTAACACCTTGGGAACACGCACAAGAAAATTACACTCGTAATGAGTTCTCTACAATTTAATCGTCTAATACTATCCGTATGTTGCACGCACTTGTTATGTAAAAATATTTTCAAACATTTACGGAGATGTTGAAATGGCTCTACTACGAAGAGAGTCTGCGAATAAAGTAATCGGATACATTCTTTACCATTTATTTTCTCTCCAAAATGTATAAGGTAGTAAACGTTGAATGTCTATAGCATTCAAGTCATAAACGATGTATGCAAGTGGTAAAATGAACAAACAGGTGTTTTTTGTTTATAACCGAAAATCTTCATTGCTGGCAGTTACTTCCACCGTTTACACCACTTCGAATTTCTCAATTATCAATTAACGAGCCGTTTGTGAAAATGATATTAACCACGAAGAAAGATACTGCATAGTAAATCGTTTGCACCCCGGGGGCGCTATAACAATGCTTTCGAAAGTTTTCTGTAAAACTTTTAAAGCATTGTAACTGAGGCATTATTTCGAAGATGTTATTACAGAATAGAATTACAATATTTACCTGCGTATTATTATTATTACTACTATTATTATCATTATTATTATTCCATAAATTATTATTCCATCATTCTAAACGTAGGTTCGATTTAAAATTTTGTATTAGTGATCGTTTTTAAAAATCATTTATTATTTATTATTACTTGCCATTTTTACTGTTTCCAGGTAAAAGGAACGAAGTTTAACGTGTCAAGATTATATAATCAAAGAAAGAAACATTTTCTCACACACTCAACTATATGTGTACCCTACGAGTTACTATTACAGTGGAGTCCCGAGTCCCGTTTAACCGAGATTCCGTATTATCCGAGGTGCTTTGAACTTAAATAAAATGAAAAAATTACATTACTTTTTAGGGTCGATGGGTGTTCATTAATCGTGCTATAAAATCATAAAAAAGATTTTCATATAAACTGCTTAATAAGTAGTTCATTAAACTTAAATACATATACAGTATTATTATTTAATTGATAAACAGTTAAATAAACCTAAATACATGTACAATTTTAAATTATCAATGATTTTCTTGCGTTTCTTCCCTATTATCCGAGTTTTCGATTATTCGAGGTAGGCTCGATCCACATCACCTCGGATAATCGAAACTCTACTGTATATACAGGGTGTGTTAGGGCTTGCGGTTGATCTTTCGATCGTTCAAGCGTTGCCGGTTTTTGCACGTGTGTGCCGACTAATGTTCTAAGGCTACGAAGGACCAGTTTCTTGATTGAAACACTAAGTTTTTATTTTATGTTCTATTTTCTACAACTAATTCAAGATACAAATTCTACTGCGAAGTGAGAGGTGTTTATCATGCGAGTGGCCAAGTGTTTCTGCTGGAGTCTCTGCGATTTCCCTCGACGAAGACTCTTATTTTCCTAAAAACACCCTGATTGGTGATTTTTCCTTTTCTAAATCACCAATCAGTTTACTCCGGTGCATCGCAACCTCCCTCCGTTTCGCCCTTAGCGCGTTATCTTAGGGTGAGGTAGACAACGACCGGAGAATGTGTTCGGTGGACGGATGCGTGGGAATCCTGTGGAATCTCCGCTTTTCTAGGCTTTGTTAAAGTCAAGTGGCTCATCGACGTTGGCAAAAGTCTATTTTTCCGTTCGGAGACTCCAGGATTTATGGCAGGGTCTGGTCCTAGGGACCAAGTGTCGCAGGCAACGCAATAAACACTTGTGGTGTTTTGAGAAAGCGATATTTCCTTGCGACGGCGACCACTTGACTCGCTGCCATAAATCCGGCTACAGGATACGCCTTAACAGGGTGGGTCACGTAAAACAGGCCACTTAATTATCTTTCCTAAATATCGTGGTACGAGAAAATTTTTATACGTAATTTAAGTGGTTTCAAGGAGTGAATCAGATGGAAGAAAGTGTTTTGATAGTAATTGCCATTTACAAAATGTATTCAATTATCCGATGAAATTTAACGCTAAATTTCCTGAGAAAGTGATTTCTCCTAAAAACTTGTCTTCCTGAAAATTTGCAGTATTGTAGCGTATGCCTGTTTTCCACTAGGCCCCTTTATTCCTGGTAGGTTACTGTTGGGAAATCTGAGTTTATTTTCATTCCTCTAGGATTAAATTTAAAGAACTATTTTCATTTAATCGAAAATGTGAAAATGTTCAGAAGCCGAAAAATTCAGCGTGTGTACACGTTAAATAAATTTTGTTTCAAAGTGTGCATCGAATAGACGAAGTTTCGGAAATTTTGATATTGTTAGACGCGAGACATTTTGTGAATCCTAATTCAACCACAACACCGAGTTCTAGCGCTCTCTAATGACCAGTAACAATGAAATTTCAAAGTCTTAATTGCACAATACGAATTTTTTTTCGTTACGTTTCACATGTTTAGGAACATTTATCTGAAAAAAATTCGATAACCATCTGAGATTGCTTTGCGTGCAATTAGTCGAGTGTGCGTGTTTATAAGGATAATTGGGTGGCGTCTTAAGGAAGAGGAAGTGTAACGCGTAGAATTGAATGCATCACTTACCAATTAAATAATGACCTAGCTCTCCAAGTACGTATCCGATTGAAACAACGGCCAGCGCGTACGGCTTGTACAGGAATTGCAATTTCTGAAACACTGTGCTCAGCATTGTGCCCTGGGAAAAAAAAAATTGAATTCAAGATTATCAGAAGCATAATAGAATCCGTCAATTAGGGTCTAACGAAATTGGAGTAAGGTCGAAGACAAATGAATCATCTGCACAGTAATGGTTTTAAATAGTTCCTTGGTCTCACGATCTTGCGAATAGCAAAATATTCCACGAGAATGCCTTATGAAAAATATTTCAGAGGAAGTAACGTACAATAAGTGATACTCGGCGTAGAAATGAATTCCGTTCCGACTTTTCGGTACAAGCAAAGTTTTATTTATTTAAAAATAATTTCCATTATTGTTTATGACCTTTTGCCATTTTTCTAGCAGCTTGTGGATACCATTGCAACAGAAATCCGGTAGTTTTGGATCAATTATGTGAATCCAGCCGGAAAGAATTCATTTCTACACCTATATATAAAATTCTGCAGTAATGTACAATTATTTGCAATTATTATTCTATGATAATATATGATGAAGTATATCGCGTGTCTTATACAGGGTGTCTCAGACATTTTTACCGGCAAACTGCGACGGTTTCTTCTTTAGATAAAAATAAGGACAAATGTTATATAAAGTTCTGCAATAAACGTTTTGTTACAAATTTATAAGCAAATAAATATTGTACGCATGAAATAGGTAATAACGGATTTTCCATCGCCTCTGTTTATTTTGTCTGCGTAGTTACATAGTGTTTATTATCTAGTAACGATTCTGCTTGACATTGACAGATAATATCGTTAAAAAGAATTACTTAATATTGTTAATTCCACATTTCAAAATGGCGTCCTTGTGATACAGTGTAGAATATATTACACTACGAAGTTCCTAAGAATTTTGCTGAATTTCAGTAATTACGTTATTAAAACAAAAAATATATAAATAAAATAAATTCTCTC